AATTCGAACTCAGGATCTATTTTCTGCACACCAAACTTCTGGCACTGAAGTGAGACTTAGTGGACCTTTACACGGTCGTATAATTTGTCTGATCCAAGTCCCACGGTGGTTTTACTCCAACATGAGAAATACCTCCCTTGTAGATTTCCAACAGTTTCATCTAGCAGAAGGGGCCATGTAATTCAAATGGCTTTTACACATTCACTTCAAATGTACAATATATCAACATTCACACTACGTATGGCACAAGAGTGAAATTCCCAAGCTTCCCTTATCACACAACAAAATATTGTGCATTGAACTGGCTGCTCATCAGAATCTCCTGGGGCTTTAACTTCCTCATATGGCCTCCCATCCCTCAAGAAATTCTGACTGACCTGCCCATAACTGCAGCCCAGTCACCGCAAGTTTTTTAAAGCATCCTTGATGACTCTAACACGAAACTCTGCCAAAGATCACTGCTCTAACTGAAGTCATCTGATGACAGGATCACAACTGATCAGACCACCAAGTTCTCCCTTGGAGGAATTTAATAGAGAAAGCCTAAGGGTATAAATTTAGAATCCTAACTCTAGACCTCCTTTGTATCCTTCCTAGAGTTGTACATTGAATGCTACTGAAATAGGACGGGTATCTTCATGGAACAGGAGATGCAGGGACTCCTGAGCTCTCATCTATGACCTGTCACCCACTGAAGTGAACATCTGCCCTTCTCCCGATCCTCCCTTGGCAACAATGGTGAAATGTGTCCTTCCCTTATTCCCCTGCTCTTCTTACAAGGACCGGGTGCGCTGTTACAGCAGGAGGGTCCCAGAATATCTTCAAGGCTGAGAATGGCCACATTCTACGCTACAAGGGCATCCCCTAAACCGTGAGGCCATACTCATCACCCAGTGGGAAGGTACCATTCCCTATCCCATCCCAGGGAGGCCACAGAAACTAGACCCGTTCTTTTGTTACTGAGGCAGTCCAATCTTCACAGCCAAGCGAAAGTCCTTTTCCTACTTCCCTTTTCTTCCTACACCTTCACTAATGCTGTGATTTTTGTGGCATCGCTTCAGGCTTCATTTCCACTGTTACAGAAGCAAGTTTCCATGTGTGCCCTGTATCACCATGAAGAACAAGTTCAGTTCTAAGCTCCATGGGCCTGGAAGGACTCTTCCCTGCTGCACCCTGGAGCACAGCATTTGGCACAAAGGGTAATCCATGAAAGAGCTATGGGATGAAGGGAATTTTCACTGGCACATGCTCCAGGATTCAGCTCTTTCCTGAGTATTAAATGGGCATCCTGGGGCATCATCTCCATCAGATTCAAGGGTCCTCATCTGCGTATTAATAGGCAGTACCTGTTCCTTGTAACCTCCCAGCTAAATCCTAGAGCTATGCCCCTTCCACAGTTGCAAGGACATCGTTTTGACCTCTTCTACATGAAGCACGTTTGACAGTCCAAACAGGTCCGGGCCTGACTAACAGATGATGCCTAAACAAGCTTTGCTCTTTTGCCAGAGAATAGCAGAACTGACAGCTTTTCGCCTTTCAAAGGATATCAGAAAACAAAGGTTCCTTTTGTCTTGGTTTCCACTATGCCCCGCCCCTAGAAACCAGGCTGCCCCCTGCAGAGCAGCTTGGGGGGTTCTCCTGGGCAGTGTGTGCTCTCCCCCTGACCACCACCCTTAGAGGAATGCTGTTTAGAGAACGCTTGGAGCAGCCTGGTACTCATGAGCGACAGCTTCCGGAATTCATGTCTTTGTACACTGTAATTTAGTACTAAGCATGTTTTCTATGAAAGAAACAGAGAGGGCTGGCATCAGATCTGGACCTTATTTCTGCAAATGAATGAATATATACAGATTTTTTTCTTTCAAGTGCTTTTTAATGAAAAGCATTTGGGTTTGTTATACAAGAAAAAGAAGATACAGTTTGACTTTTCTAAATCATGCAGCTTAGGGTACATTTGGTTGTTACTGGCGTGCATGTGTGATAGGGACTTCAAAGCTGGGTCTGTGGTGTCCAGTGGGGAAGAAAAGCAGGATAAAGCTTGGCATCTCTGCCTTAATTTTATATCTCCTAATTACCTTCAAACTCTGGATAGGCTCCCTGCTCAGCTCCACACATAGTTTTGCTAAGCAGTTAAGACATATCCATCTAACCGGTAGGAATACAAGGTTTATTAGCCCAAAATTTACCCAGTCTATCTTGTTCTGCTTCAAGACTGAAGACACCAAGAGAAATTAAGGCGTTTTCAAGATTTACAGGGAATGAAAATGCCAGTTTTGACAGTTATCCAGTTTAGACCCCCTGGAGCGATGCCTAGAAATCTCCAATCACTGTCCTAAACACATCATCTCAAATTCCAGAAAAAGCAGAGCCTCACAGACTCCCCAACAATGAGGTCACCCCTGACCCCAGGTAGGAGCAATCATCTCAGGGGACCCAGATTGCTCCCACAAGCCATAAGGACTTCTCTGGAGCTACTTGGCTGAACCAGTCCTGAGAGAACCACAAACCAAAACATGGTTTGATCAAGATTGCCTAGGCTACCGGGTACGCCAAACTCCCAGCTATGCAAACCCCAAGCCTCGCCTTTGTCTCTCTTCTGTATAAAACCTCAACATTTTTGTCAGCCTCTCAAAGACAACTCTCAAAACTCTTTATTTGTCCTCCCCAAATGGCCGTGCTGATTAAAGGTCCTTCCCTGCCCTGCAGCACCTTTTCTCCTCGACTGGCGCTCGGGATAGGTGGTCAAGCCCCTTCTGTTTGGACCCCTAAAGCCATAGCTTTAGCCCTAAAACTCTGGCAATAGATATTTGTGGATGAAGTCAATTATTATATTTTTATAAACTTCCTATAATATAGCATCACTATAGTAATACCTAGAGACCAAGGTTACATGAACACTGACTTATAGTTTTTATGTTAAGTGCCATGGAATTTTTCCCATTGATTATTTCAAGTCACGAAGTTATTATTTAAAATGTGATCATATGCAGGCAATAAATAGAAAATGTGCATTTACATGACGTGCTGCAGCATTACTTAGATAATTCTGCTACAATCGGACCTCAGTGGAGGGAACAGAACTAGCATCCTAAACATACAAGTGAAATCTGCAGAGGACGCACTCATCAAGGTAGCTTGTGTCAAAGAATCTAATTCATTAATTATACCTAAGATTTTACCACTGATTACAATATTTTAGACTTGGTAATGAAGGACAGCAAAAACTTTCAGACTGTGCAAAATTTAATTCATTTAATTATTCCACAAGCATATGTTAAGGTGTAGTACATATCCAGCTCTGTGTTAAAGGAAGACTATTTAAAAATGGAGATCACTGCAAACAAATGATTAGCAGAGGAAGCAGGATATCTTAATTAGGCTGATTTGCTCACTTCAAAATGTATACATGTATCAAAATATCCTGTTGTATCCCAAAGTTATACTCAAATATTTATCAACTAAAATTTAAAATGTAATTCTAAAACATGGGAACACCGTCATCCCTGACTTCCAGGAACTCACAAGCTAGTGAAAGAGATGGAGACAAGCATCGTTTCCCCACTGTGAGGCGACTCTATCACACAGGGCAGCAAAGCGCTGAGCGGGTATGGGGAAGGATGCTGTCACCTGCCCTGGAAAGTGTCCAGGGAGGTTGCCTACAGGAGACAACACCTGCGCTGGGTAGTCAAGCGTTGCTGACCAAAAGCTCAGGGATTCAGCTGAAAACACCAGCTTGGAAGGATCTCAGGGTGTGGCAAAGTGAGGAAAGCAAGCTTAGGAATCTCAGGGACAACAGTCCTACTCGTGTGGAAAACACCTGGCTAGATGGGTCATCTAGACTGTTGGAGAAACAGAGAGATCAGTGACCAGTCCTGTAGGGAGCAAGGGTGGGTGTTCAGAATGACAACCTAGAGAAGAAGCTTCCATTTTCTTCAGACATTAACTGGCAGTGGAAGAGGTTCCAGGTCCCTCTTTGTGCATTTGCAAAATAAAAAGCTGCTGAGCTGGACCCTGTGCTAGAGAAGCTCAGTCTCCAAGGTGACTTGCAAAGGCACATTCCTGCCTGTCATGCCTGTGATCTCATTTCCAATCACATGGGAGAGGGGGAACTAGAAAACTTGCAGCCTAGAATCTGCCTTAATTATCTCTAATCACCAACAAAAGTCTACAAGTTTAAAAGAATGTAAAGTCTCAAACCACCCTGAAGATGATTTTCACCCAAGGCAAGTATCTTCCTAAAAGATGCAGCATGGATTTCTTCATGGAGATATGCAACATGCAGAAAAGCTGACGGGCGCAAATCTTTTTTTAAATATGAAACATCAACATGTAGCCTTATGTGCCATGCAAAAATTAGTAAGCAAACATGTTTTTCACAAATTCACCAGTGTAGAACTTTGAAAAATTTTTAGGTCTTTTTCCTCTAGGGTGTGAAAGATGCTAATATAAAACAAACTTGCCAAGCTACAGAAAACAGCTCCTTACCGTTAAAACACGGGTGACACTCTGCTTCCAGAGCTGTCGCCTACCGATCCTGAACATCACAGCAACCTACACAGCTCATGCACTGGCCAGGGTCAGCTCTTCCAGAATGGCCTTCTAACTCCTGGGAGACCTCTTCATCACCCACTAGGCTTTCAGGTGAGAAGTCCCCTGGAGGTCCAAAATGTCACTTTCACATTTCTTATTCACATGTATTATTCACCACATTGACAGAATAAATATTAGAAGTCCACTTATCCTATTCAAATTTCCCTTCTAGCGTCTCTGTCCTTGAGCCTCTCCCCGGTTCCAAAGCCTGCCGTTGTTAGGGTAATACTGTTTATACACTACACAGTTTAACCATGCCTCTTAATCGTGTTTATCAACCAATAAACGCACTTTAACTGCCCACTTGCACCACAACTTCTGATGTTTGCTTAATTCTATACGCTGCTCAATAATAAGTTTTGAGGCAACAAATACTTAAATAATTTTTCTTAACAATGAGAAACTTCAAATGATATTGAAACAGAGAGCAGAGAAGTCACAGTGTGGAATATATTTCTCAAGTCCAGAAATTCTGTCTTACTTTCTCTAAACAACTTTGCGTGCACAATTAACTGCTAGCATTGTGGCTAATTGTGACTAATTGCAAGATAGGCTAATTGTGACCCAAAGGAGCCGTTTTCTCCCCTGTAAAGAACAAGCTGCCTACTTCATATGCAAATAGCAGAGGAGATCCATAAATTACTTGTGCTCACACAACTGCACATATACATAGACCAAGGTAATTTACTCTCCCCAGCTAAAGCATCTTGATCATTCACACTATGAAGATGTAATGAGGAGACATCACCAAGTACTCAGCGAGATCTCCCACCCAGGATTACTCTCAGCAAGATATGTAGAAGGCACTGCATTCAAGGTTCAGATTGTTGAACCCAGAATTTAGTCCTGGAGTTCAAGGTTCTGCAACTAAATCCTCTGAGGACATCCAAGGATAACCAGGAAATCGGAAACTTACGCTGGTAATAGCCTACTATTCAACCTCTAAAGAGACAGACTTCCAAGCCAAGGTGCTAATTTGGTATCAGACTACAGGCGATCCAACTGGTCAAGAGCCAGTGCTGGGGTGTGGCCTCCGAGCGCTACATTAATACAGAGGAAACCCTTCAACCTGAATATTATTTGGTAAGCAAGTAACAAGAGCACAGGAAGTTAGAATTTGCTCACAGTATCGGGACCCAAGAACCTTCTCTTTTCCCTCTGGAGGTTCAAGATTTGAGTCTGAGAAATAAATGGGCAGAAGACACAAGAAGACACACATGTTTCCTACATGTGCGGGGGCACTGCAGGAAGGTGAGTGTGTGCTGAATTCAGTGAGATTTAGAAGCTTACAGTCTCTCTTCTTAGGGCAGAGGGAAGGAAAGCTATAGCAATGTTAGAGGACGAGCAAATGATTGAATGGGGCCAAAGAACAGACAATGTCTTGGGACAAGTGGATCTGGGCCCTGGTATGGTGTCAGGCTGCTCTTCCTGCTCTGGCACAAGCATTCCCCAGTTCCAGAGTTATCTGGGGAAGGCATTTGCAAATGAATATTTTCTGGCACATTCAGCCTTTGAGGGAGCTGAGGGAACCTCAGAGAAAGCCTCCCCCACACTAGCTGCTCCTCAGGTGCCTTCAGATTGAAACCCAAAGCTGCATCTTTGGGGAGATCATCTTCTTAGACCCAACATGAAGCTATTTTTGTTTCTGGGTGCTAAGCTGGAACCTAAGGTATTATGCATGCTAAGCATATGTCCCACCACTGAGCTACATCTCAGCCCCAAGATATTCTTAAAATCAACCTCCGCTGATAAGCTCTGTTAAGCTACTGTTTTCTGTCCTGGTTATGAGTGGTGACAGTGAATGTCCAGACCTGGAGGTCTCTCCTCTGTATGGCACTGAAAGGGCACCAGAGAATGGTAGGGTGATCTGATCTGATCCGCCCTGCTCAGCAGCTCAGTCCTAGGAACATCCTGTCAGCATGTGATCTCAAGACAGACATTATAATTCATTATATCCATGCTTAGCTTTCATTAGTTACATTTAAACCACTCTCCTGCCGTGGTATATCAGGCACCACCCTCATCCCAGCAGCAGCCCGTTCACAACACCTCCCTTGGGGAGAGTTACTTTCCGGGAAGATTTCCACACATGGCTGATGGCATTCATCCTGTGTTTGGCAGGCATACCCAACACTCTCCTGAGACTTCACTGCAAGTCTTCCAGCCACCGGCCAAGTTCCAGCCCCTTTGGGCAAGGCAGAGGCAGTAGGTATCTTTATACTTACACTCAGATTCTGCCTGCAGTTGTCAAAGATTGCGCAGTAGGAAAGTCAGGGGATTTCTCTACAAGTAGTTTCCACCAGGCAGCCTCTTCAGCTGGCAGGCCTCACCTATAGAAGCTCTTAAACTGGAAACTTCTCCAGCACCACTGATTCAGACTATGCACGCTTCCAGGCTGAACATATTGGCTATACACAGATCCAAATACAAAATACAAGCCAGGCATATTGAGAAAACAGGAGTGGACAATGACCTTGGAGGGGCAAGAGACTTTGTCCATAAATCTGAGTACCTTTAGGACCATCTGAAATTCTTTCATTCACTCATTCGACAAATGTTTGCAAGTACCTTTTATGGGGCAGATTCCATGCTGTATAGTGTGAAGAGAATAGCTAATAAAAATAGACATTTACTCAAACATTCAAAAATATCATTGTAAGACATAAAATTAATTTATGCAACACTCCGCGAGGAAAAACCAAATGCTGCCAATTCAACACAATATCAATTATAAGATGCATTCTTGATTTCTACTGGTCCATTGAAAGGAACCATTAATGCTTAATTTTTTTCTTCTTTTTAATATTTTTTACCAGTTTTGCATGCTTATATCTGGTAACCTGAACAACTAATTTGAAGACAACAATATGCAATATAACAACCATTGGTGAATTCCTATCATCTTGTTCTGTATCGTTTCTAATTTTTTTATTATTTTTTATTGTCTTTAAAATAAAAAAGATGCATCCTTATATTGCAGATGTGAAAATATGAAAACATAAGTCTCAGGATCAGTAAAAATTGGTCACTTCTGCCTTCATTGGGTGTGGATAACAAATAACTGAAGTGACAGATAATTATTAAAAGTATAACATGAAATTTGAGGAAAGTGTTATTCAAAAAGAAAATAAGGTATAAGCTTTACCTGGACCTATGGTCTGAATTAGTAACATTTTATGCTTACATTCCAAAAAGACCTCATCTCTAAATTATGGAGCCACCTACTTTGGAGCTTGAGGCCTTGTAGGTACACCCTAAGCCCTGGGGCATTCGGAAAGTGCAGTCCAATCCTGGACTCCTACAGGATTGCATTCAATTCCAGCTCTGTTCTCTTCCAGCTAGGTGACATCAGCACCTTTGTTGCCCAGGTTATATGATAGAAATAAAGCCACTTATCTAAGGCTGGTAATGATTTCAATACACAGACTTTAAAACTCTTGGATCCTTATAGGCACTTAATAAATAAAAGATATAACCAAATTTTTATTTGCAACTATAACTAGTAGTAATATCGATGTAAGGGACAAATTTCCAAGTAACCCACAAACTCTAATCTAAAGACTATTTGGAAGTTTTGCTTTTGATTTCTGACTATGTCCTAAGAAAAGAGTTTCATTGATTCCCCTTGGCACATTTTCCAGAGATTTCCATCTCTAAGAATGTTTTGGTGAAGTCCATCACAGTCAGAAACATTCATCAGGTTAATGGCATTGTAGGCAACGACAGCAGGGACAGTGTGTTAAGATGGCAAATGAATTCAGTGGCATGAGAAAGGACCATCCATTTTGAGTTGCACATCTTTTGGCTTTTCACCATACTGAAACTGACTGCATCTGTCTTGGTTACTTTTCTCTTGTTGCTGGGACAAAATATCTGATGCCCAGAATTTAGGAAGGAAAGATTTATTTAGCTCACAGTTTGTGGAGGTTTCAGTCCATACTTGGCAGGTTGCAAAGCAGAGTGGCACATGGCAGAGGGCTACAGCTCATGGCGGCAAAGCACAGTCAAAGCAATAAGCACAAAAGCCAGGAATGGCTGCAAGCAGCCTCTTCCTCTCCCTTACATATGCAAACTATCCACCCCAGGGCAGTGTGGGTGTAGCTCTCACACCCATAATCAATCAAACTCTAAAAGCCTGCCCCATGGCCACATGAGGCTTTGGGGGGACACACAGACACAAACCATAACAACATCTTACATTCATTATCCTCTGATAATCATAGTTGTTCAGGCAATAATCATGACACAGGTGCCATTGCCAGCCCTTGTGCAGACCCAGCTGTCGCCCCTGAACATGACAGGGCCACTGTGGCTTTGGATATGATATCAAATATCACACAGCCATGCAATGATGTCAGGGGATAGGGGAAAAATCCCCAAAAGGTCAGGCCCTCAATGTGAAGAGGTTTTAGAAATTTCTTAACAAATTCATTGCACTAATCTTTGCATGGATACACAAGTATAATATGACTTTTTAAAAATCTATGCATAGGTCTAAAAGAGCTGTTTCAATGAAAGTAAAATAAAATTTAAGAACCTGATGCACTCTCATTTAATTGACAGCTGTGTTTCTTAATGTCCAATGACACAGTGGTGCGTCTTTCATCTGAAGGGGGCTTAGGCCAAAGGAAATATCAATTTTGGAGCACTTATGATCAAGGGAAACTTCTTGGAGAAGATAAAATTTGCAGCAAATCTTCAGACAGGGAAAGATTCAAAAAGGCAGGGTATAATACCATGTGTGGAAAATATCAGGCCCAAGGCAGGGAGACTGGAATTCAAGAGAGCCTGTCTTACACTGCAGTTGTGAAGGGAAATGATTGATTTTTTTAAAAAACGTATCTTGAGGTTGAAGGTGAGTTTCAACCTCAGGTAGTGGCTCTTGCAGGCATTAGGGAGTCATTGAAGAATAAATCAATGAAGACTAGCCTGTGACAATTACACTGGTAGCTGTATGCAGAAGGACTGGGGTAGAAAATTTGAAGTCACTATCGTGAGCATAAAGCAATAAATAATTCAATGGAAGTAGAGGGACAAAAGCAGTGGCCTCCCAAACCACCCAAAAATGAACAAGCACACAGACTGTGTAAAGAGGCAGGTTCCTTTTCCCCCATGGAAAATTTTGTTACCCTTAGAGAAATGTTTGTTGAAGAAGAAATGAAAAGGAACAGACAGAAAAAAATTACTGAGAAGTATACAAAAACTGATGGAATTTAACAACTACCATTAAAGGAAGGGAGGTAACAGCTGCTAAAGATAATTCTATTTTGCCCATCTTGGGCAAAGTAATGAAGCATACTAATTCAAAAAGGAATGAGGAATCCAGAAAAAGAGTACATTTTCTAGACCAGTTGACTACAGAAATGTTAATGGATAAATAAACAAAGCTCCGAGCCTTTATTTTTCCTTTTGGATTTTTTGTGTTAAAAATATGAAGGACACTATAATTACATGCAAGACCCAAAGCACCCAGTATCTTTTTCTTTATTCTACTATAATTTTTAAAAAGCACAATAAAAAGAAAGGACCCAATCATACATTGACACCATAATTGTTTGAGCTACACTCCCCCAAAAAAAATGATCCTAAAAGTTTCAAATGAAGGAGTATGGTTTGTTGGGCTTGCCAGCATCTTCTTGAAATGGAATTGTGCAGCAAAAGCCAAAAACTATGCACAGGTTTCTGGAAGCTTCGTTCATTAAAATTCAAACAAGAACAAGAGAAGGAAAGAAAACTCTCAGAGGAGGATACAGAAAGATGATGCATTTAGACTAAAGCAGAACCTAAATGGAGCGTCCGAGCTCTGCAGATATGGATTCCAGGAGGAGAAATACTGGTGCTAAATGCACCTTCCGGATGTTATTTTGTGCAGCACCTGGCATGTAGGGTGAGGATAAAGGATGTCTGGCATTGACTGAGACAGGGGTATATGAAAAGACACAGTCTCAGGAACATCCTTTCTCCTCTTTCCTTCCCCCACCCCCCCGTGACTCTTCCAGGCACCTCTGTAGAACTAATGCGCTGCTGGCTTGGGAATCCACATTTCTGAGCTGACTCTTACACATACCACTGGGCTGTGTGATCTTTGATAAACCTCTCACCTCACTGGCTCCGTTTTCCCCACCAATAACATGAGGTAAGTAGCACAGTGATCTTGCCGGAAACTGCCAGTGCAAAAAAACAGAAAAGCCCATCCTTCAGCCTACGCAAGTGATCTTAGAGCCCACACATACTACACCTATGGCTTGTGTCTAGATGTCTCCCTAAAGCCTCATGTACTCGTAGCTGCAAGTTTTGGAAGGTGGCTGGATCTCAAGCGTGTGATGCTAGGATTAAATTGTGTGATGCCAGAACTAAGGGTACAAGATTGCTAAATCAGTCCACTGATTGGCTTGGCATAGTTCTGGATGTGGATAATGGGATGCCCTACCGTGGGTGTGTGTGGCCCCACCCAAAAGGCAGATAAACTGGAAGGGATAAAAAGGAGAGGCAGGTTGCTGCTATCGCTTGCTGTTTGCTACCTCACTACTGGCTGCCTTCTGCCTGCTCTGCTTCGCCAAGGACTATGTTTCCCATGATGCCCCTCTGCCATGCCTCCCTGCCTTGGAGCCAGCCAACTACGGACTGAAACCTCTACAAACCGTGAGCCAAAATAAATCTTTCCTCTTTTAACTTTGCATACTGAGTATTTTGTCTTGGCAAAAAGAAAAGTAACTGAGACACTGCATGTATTAAGTAATGTCAATGTATGATAACACAACTGCTGCGTGCACCATCTTAAAACATGGAGTAAAAAACACTGGAAAATTATGTCTCTATAATCATCTGAAATGAGTTTGATCGCTTTACTACTGCAGTCCTCTTGTGCCTATGACAATACTGATTTCTCCTTAGAAATTGTTTTCCATTCCAGGTGCCCCCATCTTAAGCAAATGATACTCCCTGGACATTGATACCTACTCTTTGTATACAAAATTATGATGCTTTATCAAATTCTCCACCCAAACTAACCACACAAAATTTAGGAACTCTAAATAAAAGTAGAAATCAAATTTTAGGAGCAAATCATAGAGTTTACTACAGTAAGTCTTTTTGGCATGCTGCTTTTAGGTGTTTGTTGGCTGGTTGGTTGGTTGGTTGGTTGGCTGGCTGGTTGGTTGGTTGGCTGGCTGGTTGGTTGGCTGGTTGGTAGGTTGGTTGTAATGGGGACTGAACCCAGAGTCTTTGTATTCAGCTATATCCCCAGCCTTTTTTTAGGAGAGTCTTACTAAATTGCCCAGGTTGGGCTCAAAATTTTGACTTGCCTGTCTCATCTTCCCAGAATGCTGGAATTATAGACTGTGCCATGACATCTAGCTCTGCTTTGGGTTTTGCTGCTTAAATGGTTATACAGATTGAGCATTACCTAATTCAAAACTCCTGAATCCAGAATTTTCCAAAATCTTTAACTTTTTCAGTGACATCATCATGGAAAGTGCTGGCATCAGGTGACAGGTCATACTCAGAGCACAGGTGCACAAAAATATTCTATAAAATTACCTTCAGGCTATGCCTATAAGGTGCACATGAATCATAAATGAATTTTGCATTTCAATTTGGGTAACAGTGGTATCTCTAAGATATCTGATCATGTACATCAAATACTCAAAACTTTTTAAAAATCTAAACAATTTCTGGTTCCAATCATTCTAGATAAGGGGTACTAAACCTATAAGTTTTGTTGTTATTGCTGTTGTTGTTGTTGTTGTTATTTGTGGTTTTTATAGTACTGGGGACTGAACCCAGGGTCTTCACCCTGAGCTACATCCGAGCCCTTTTTTATTTTTTATTTTGAGAAAGGGTCTCACTTGCCTAGGCTAGGCTCAAACTTGTGATTCTCCTGCTTCAGCTTCCCAGAGTACTGGGAGTACAGGACTACCACCACACCTAACTTCAATATGTAGTTCTTCATGCCCTCCAGATCATGCATAGCATGGTTATTCCAACTGTTCCTTGTTTAGAATAAAAGTTATAGCATTACATCATACATAACTTTTAAAAAACTTTTTAAATTAGAAGTTGTTTGTAATTATAATCTAAAAGACAATCAACATCTTGGAATTAGCCTCACGCCATAATTACTTGTACTTTAAGAAAGTCAAAATTCAACAAATATATGACTGATATTAATTACAGAGATAGGAAGAGAACTCTGATTAATGTAATTAATTCCTGCTTTACAAAAGTGAGAGCCAATGATCTTAACCTTTGTTACTTTTTCACTGATATTGTTCAACATGGTCATTCTGAAGTTCCAAGGTATAATTATTACCCCAAACAAAAAGTAACCAAGTCTCCAACTCAAATTTCCACTTCTGGGTTCTACTTTAGTTCCTTGGGTATTTATTTAGGGGGAAATATATTTCATTATGTAAGTCACATTGCCTGTATGAGTCAGCCTTCTACCACTGTCATGAACTAACTGAGATAATGAACTTATGAAGTGAAAAGGTTTACTTGGGCTCACAGGTTTGGAGCTTCCTGTCCAAGGCGAGGTGAACCCACTGCTGTGGGACACTGGTGCATGTGCTACATGGCAAACAGCAGGGAGCATACTGTGGAGCACATGTCTCACCTCATAGCCCGGAAGCAAATTGCTGAGGAATGACTGAGATCCCACAATCCCCTTCAAGGACACACCCTCCATGACCTATGACCTCCCAGAAGGTCCCGCCTCCTACAGTTTCCACTACCTCTCAATAGTGCCACTGTGAGGACAAGACCTTTGGGGATGCTTATCCAAACCATAGCTCTGCCCATACCAGGACTTGGTGGCTGGCATTGGTGACATGAAGAATCCATGGACAAGGGGCTGGGGATTTAGCTCAGCGGCAAAAGCGCCTGCCTGGCAAGCGCAAGGTCGTGAGTTCGGTTCCCGGTACCGGAGGGAAAAAAAAACAAAAAAAAGAATCCATGGACAATGCCAAGAAACTGCTGAGGCTGCACATGCACCCACCCACTGACACACAGAGCCCAGCACAAACCCAGGAGAAAGCTGCAGAAATGAAAACCAAAGCCTTGACTTTCACTGAGGGACCATTCTGGGGACTGTCTCTGTTGTTATCATAGTTGATCATCTTCGTTAAGCAGAGAAGGAAAATAATAATAGTTGAGTTCACCAAGAAGCTCTTATTTATCCTTTCAGTTAGATTTTTTTGCTTTTGTCTTATCCCAAGATATCAGCAAACATTAACCTCAAAATCATGGTCCTTCTCTACAGAAAAAAAATCAAAAGTCATTCAGTGACAAGGAAAATTCTAACATTAGTAACAGCTAGTTGATTCACCCAACCGATATCTTCTAAAAGCAACAAAGAATTACCCCTGCTTCTAACATCACAAGTGCGTTAACAGAGGAATTTCCCAACTCATGACAGCTTGGCTTTGCAAGTCCTTTTGTGGGATGATTTTTATCATAACCAGAAACCTCTGAAAATAAGCAAGACAGTTTTATAAATGTTTGTGTTTAGCACTCAAACCCACAGCAAGAAGCTTGGTGCTAAAATGAGATGCACTAATTTCAGAGGCAGAAAAATTTTTGATTACAAGAATGGGATGACATACTGGCAAATCCATTTATCTAAAACCAAGCAGTCACTTCTGCAAAGAATGTTTTGATTCTCTTTGAAAAGCTTAGGAATAGGCTCAGGGAAATACAGAGGAAGATAATTTCAGCCAGAGAAAGATTTGATCAGTTTAGAAACAGAGCAGTTGGTGGCAGATCAGAGTTCAGGGAGAGACCCAGCAGCCATGCCGTCTACATCCCCAACCTCCACCAATAGCACTGCAAACCCAGAGAGCAAGAAGCCATCTATCTTAGTCACATCTGTGTCTCTGGATCATCACACTCCTTATCAAACTAATCAAGAAGAGCCTCATTTATAACTCCATCCAGGAACTAATTAGGTCCTCCATCCCCAAACTACTTACAGTAACCAATTATATAAGTTACCCCACTAGCCAACAAAAGAAAATTTATATTGTCAAGGAAGACAAAAATAATCTAATTACTGGTTATTGTTTTCTGTATTTTACCTTTTTAAGCACCATACCCTAACTCATAATAGAGGTCATTACTGGGGCTGGGGATTTAGCTCAGTGGCACAGCGCCCGCCTGGCAAGCGCAAGGTTGTGAATTCAATTCCTGGTACCGGAAAAAAAAACAAAAACAAACAAACAAAAAAAAAAAAACTAAAAAATAAAGGTCATTGCTATTCTTACATACATCATAAGACAAACCTCAGACACTGCTGTTCCTTCAACGCAGAAATTCTGAAATATTATCTGAGACCAAGCATAAACTCCATTTACCATGTACATAAAGAATATATAAATGTGTCTTATTGCTAACAAAGCTAAATCATAGAAATTCTATGCAGACTAAAAGTTGCTTCAGAGTTTCTTTGAGGATGAGTTTCAATGCTTACTTCTTATCAAGCCAGCATCACAATTTCCTGACACACACAGAGGTGAAAAGACACCCATTAAGATGAATATCTACACACATTTCCTACCCTAAGTGCATTTATCAATTGCTTTACAATGCATTACCTAGTTCCTGCTGCCTAAGAAATTGCCAGTGTCTTGATCTACTATCTATCTCCCGCTAACAGCAGTTAACACTGAGCCTTATATTCAAACTTGGGCTCCAGACAGATTGAAATACCCAAATGGAAAGGCACAACTAATGACATAAACCAACTTTCCTTGACTGAAGTAAGTTCTAAGTTGGGAATTTTACTTAAATGTACCTCGGTACAAGAACATGAAGAAGGCCAGGATAAGACAAGGAATTTGAAAATGTGGCACGTACCTGGTGATCCCACATTTGACGTGAAGTTAATCTGAACAATTACTTTCTTTAGATTGTTTCAACTTTCAAATATCACAGAATCAAAAATGTGGGATTGCTTCTGTTTAATAGGAAAGAACAGCAGAGAAAAATTTTGGAGGTATAATTCCTTTTCTAGATGATAATGAATTAATTCCATATTTTAGGTATTTGTTGAAAAGAATGGTATATATTTTAAAAGAACTATTTAGTATAGTCCATTACTAAAAGTACCAAAAGTACCAACATATGTTTATTCAGCTTCTT